CCCTAAACCCTAAACCCTAAACCCTAAACTCTAAACCCAAAACCCTAAACCCTAAACCCTAAACCCTGAACCCTAAAACCCTCAAAACCCTGAACCCTAAACCCTACATCAACCCTAAAAACCCTGAACCCTGAACCCTGAACCCTGAACCCTGAACCGTGAACCCGGAACCCTGAACCCTGAACCCTGAACCCTGAACCCTGATCCCTGATCCCTGATCCCTGATCCCTGAACCCTCAACCTAAACCCTAAACCCTCAGCCCTTTAACCCTAAACCCTAAACCCTAAACCCTAAACAACCCTAAACAACCCTAAACCCTAAACCCTTAACTACCCTAAACCCTAAACCCTAAACCCAAAAACCCTAAACCCTAACCCTAAACCCTAAACCCTAATCCCTAAACCCTAAACCCTAAACCGTAGACCCTAGTCCGTAAACCCTAAACCGTAAACCCTAAAAACCTAAAACTTAAACCCTAAACCCTAAAACACTAAACTTTAAACCCTAAACCCTAAAACCCTAAACCATAAACCCTAATCCCTAAACCCGTAAACCCCTAAACCCTAAACCCTAAACCCTATACCCTAAACAACCCTAAACAACCCTAAACCCAAAACCCTAAACCCTAATCCCTAACAACCCTAAACCCTAAACCCTAAACCCTAAATCAAAAGCCACAATTTGTGAGAAATCGGCTTTTATTTTGATCAAAATTGGGCTCAAAGCATGGGTCAATTGAGCTTGAATTTGGTTTAGATTTGTCATATGAAAGGTTAATTCGAGTTTAGGATTGAAATTGTGAGAAATGGAGACCAATTTGATGGACATTTGAGGCGGATTTGGGGAGATTGGGCATTTAAAGGCAATTTTAAGGGTTTTGGTCAAAATGGTCAAAATGGCCAAATTAGGTCATGTGGTAGTTGAGAAAAGTGAAATTGAGATATTTGGAGTATTTTGGGAATTTTTGGAATTTTGGGCTAAGTAGGGGTAATTTGGTAATTTGGCAATTTTTTGGTAATTTTGGGTAATTTGGGTATTTTCAAAAGGTTTGAAATGACTTTGAATAAATTTGGGTATTTTGGGTAAATTTGGGAATTTTGGACAAATTTAGGGTCTAAAGGGAACTTAGGTAATTTGGAGGAGTTTAGGGGCAAAAAGCTAAATTGGGTATTTTGGTAGAGTTGGGGTGTCAACCACCATAAATAAGCCATAGACCAATAGAAACCCCATTTTGGGTCCTCCATGTATTGGTCTTAGCTAAACCCTAGCCTAGGGCTAGTGGGTTTAGGGGACCATCTACATGAGTCTCCCAAAGGATCAAGGGATCAAGGTCAAGAAATTTTAGATTTGCATTTGTGAGTTCTTGTGAGTGAGGTGATTGCTGGTGAGTGGCTTAGCTCTAGACCAACACCCAGGGTCAACCCTAAGGTCCAACAGTCTTATTGGAACTCTCCTTGAGCTCCCTCATAATGACCCCACCTACTAAGTGCTAGAGGTTAGGACCACTATGTGGAACTTCAAGTTGAGTAAAAAGAAGTTTAGAATTTCTAATAGTGGGGATTTCTTTTCTAGTTTTCTAGGAATAGTCAACAGGAAGTCCTATGGCTAGACTTTAGGCTACTAAAAATGAAAACTAGACCTCAACCAAAAATGATGTCAACATTGGAATATCTTCTAAATTCAGTTTAATGCTCTATACTGGTCGTGGATATTTATGCAGAGACAAAGCACTTCGCGACTCGTCTGTTAGAGTTGGCGTTTCTTTCGAAACTTATCCAAGTAAATTTTTATTGAAATTTGATTTTTTTTAAATGTAAGTTTCCTTTTTATTTTGTTCTTGCTTTTTATTTTGAATGTTGTTTTTGTTTTTGTTTTTATTTTCGGATGTCTTCTTATTTATTTTGAATTCAGAATTTTGTTTAATTTTTTGATGTGAAATTTTGTTGTTATTTTGGGTTTGAGTTTCGTATTATGGAGAAAAGACTCGGGAGTAAAATTTAACGTGACTTGTTTAAAACAAGTCAAATTCGGACGTAAGATGAAACGAATGTGAAAGTGGTAGAAAGGTGTAGGTTGCTTGAATCTGAATACTCTCTTCGAAGTTCTCTATTTTCCTTTTTTCTTGATTCACTGCTCGTTGCACCACCTGCCAATCATTCTTATATATTTGACATGTTATCTATACATGGATATATGTATTTTATTTTTTTTTACTAAAATAATATTATTATTGATATGATACTAAAAATTCGAGTGATAAATATAAAAACTTGAAATTTAGGTGTTAGATATGCAAATACACACGACTTTACTAATATGTATCCAAAATAACCTAAAAATAAAAATGCTATTAAAAAATACATACTAATTCTTCGGTCTCTCGAACCTTCATCCGTCCGTAGGAACCACTCCATCCCGAACCCCTAACGCCGCCGCTGCTCACTTCCTCTACATTGTATGGCCCAGATCCAGGTCTCGAACCCTGGTTTCACCCCACCTACGTTGATTTCACGTCGCCACCGTTGGTTTCACCCCTCATTCACTGGATTCACACTTCCGTCCCCGGATGTACACCTCCGCCTTCGGACGAACTCAACTTCTTCCTTATCTACGTCGGCGTCACCGAGTTCATCGCCGCCGCGCTTCTATGAGGTGATTGGATTTGTGTTTATGTTAGTGTGTTAGGCCATTGCATTTTCTAATGATACAAATGAAGAACCGTGCCATTCAATTTGTTGTTCATTGTAAGCTCTGCAAGATGCTGCTTATTATTAATTCTTGTCTGATTGGGTTTCTTGCAGGCTACGAAAGGAGGCAGCGCAGTGTTATCAGGATGTGATGAAAGTGGTGAGTTCATTTATATAGTAATTGTCAGTCTAATCTGTAAGCATAATTCATTTATTTTAGTCCATTGCGTGACTTGTATTGGATTATGAGAATAAAATGATTGAGCAATGTAGTTTTAGTTACTAACTGTATTTTGCCTACTTTTTAGTTTCAAATGAGAGGCCATGGAAAACCAGTGATGCTAGGCTTGTGCTTGAGGATGGATCTGTATGGAAGGCCAAGTCGTTTGGTGCTTCTGGAACACAAGTTGGTGAAGTGGTGTTCAACACATCTTTGACAGGGTAATCAGACCTTTTTATTATTGATATAATTTTTAATCTGTATAAGCTTCGGAAATAACATTGGTATCTACACATAACCATGGCTTCAACCTTCATCATTGCTACCTATTCCATTCTTCCACACCTGCCATCACAACTTCATTGTTGTGATCTTTCCATTCTAGAATCTATGCAAGATCGTTGCATTTGATAAAGTAAATCAATATTATCAAAATTAAAAAAATAATAGTAAAATAATTATACAAAAGGAATTAATATAAAACGAATTCATGTAGGAATAAATTTATTTCATTTTTTCATTAAATAAAAGTTATATTCAAATTAATTAAAATATTTAAATTCAATTTGAGAAGAAATAATCACATGATATTATAGATTGTTAGCTTAAACTCGAGGAATTAATTATTTTATAAAAATAAAAAAACTCAAAGTAAAATAGAGCAAAATAAGAAAAATAATATTAGTATTTAGTAGCTATTAAGTTATTTAAATAATATATTTTAAAATAAAAGAAAATGAGATGCAATATACTTTTAAATTTAAAATTTATTATTCATAACACGTGGTGTCTATTATTTTTTTAATTGAATGTATAGATGGTATGCCTAATGTATTGTAGATTCACATTGAACAAGTACACATCTTTCATCTGTTCTACATGGCATGCTTCATTTTTATAAAGTATTGGTGCATCATAGCAATAAAGTGATTAGAGTCATCATACATATCATATTTGAATATCTTTTTCACAATGGATCAAACTATAGAGTGAAAACTTTTGATTTACATTAAATATCATAGCATGAAGTTACATAGCTTTTGAATTATATAATGGGTCATGGCATAAAGCAACATAGCTTTGAATTTTTTATAAGTAATTTTATTTTCTTTTTCAAGAGCCCTACAGAGCTTAGCTTAAACCTAACCCGCCATTGGCCTGTATTTTCCAATTTGCACAAGTTTGGCATAGCTCATGTATCCATTGTTTTAATTGATGAATAGATAGCTAACCATCGGTGAATATATCCCCCATCAATACAAGAAGGGCATAGAATTACATGTCCATTACTCTCAGTAGATACACAAGTTTGATGCGACAATGTATAGATAAAAGATTTACATGTGAGGAAGAATGATCAAATCCTTTTTCATAGATTTAAAAAGGAGTGCCATTAATAGCTGCAAGAAAGGAAGAAGATATTTCATAATATGAAATATAAATTGTCAATTACTTTTATATAAGAATAAACACCAAAGTCTAAAATCCAAGACTTATTAATCTAAGCAATTATAATGCTCACTAAGGTTTGTTTGGTCGACAACATTACCAATGTATTTCATTCATAGTACAGGAATTTTGAAAATTTAGTCGGTTGTTCAGAATTAATTGCAATTCAATGTAAAATAGTATTGTATTTGAAATTCAATGGAATTCGGCCAATTTAGCCAAATTTAAAATATACAGCTTAATGTAAAGTGCAAACCACTCCCACCTCGTTGCCCCCGCCGTCAACGCATTATTTCTTACATTGAAATATATTAAAAAAAAAATTGAAGTCACCCGTTTATTTTACAATAAAGCAAACTACTCCAAAATATTTTAAGTACATTACATTATCCCTACTTCATATTTATTTTACATTGGATTAATTTTTCTGCTGACCAAACAACCCCTAAATATAAAAAGTTTTTCTTGCTTGATATTTTCCTGCCTAACAATTGTTAATCTTATATAAGATAAAATATTTTGACTCTTGAATGATTCTTCTTACATCGTCCATTGAGAGAAAAGTGACTAAATAATAAATGCTGCTTCTCTTATAGCATTCATAAATGGTATTGGAGGTAGCTAATCTGGACGTTTTTTGTTCAGATATCAGGAAATATTGACAGACCCCAGCTATGCTGGGCAGTTTGTTTTGATGACTAATCCTCATATTGGAAATACTGGTGTTAATCTAGGTGGGCTAACTTTCTTATCTAATATCCTATGCTTGCTCAGCTCTCTCAGCTTTTTCAGAAATTTAATGCTTGCCATACCTCTGTGCAGATGATGAAGAGTCGAATCAATGTTTCCTTGCTGGTTTAGTTATTAGAAGTATAAGTATGTGGTGAGCTTTTATTGTCGTATTTTATTTCAATTATGCAACTACAGGTTTTATATCAACAAGAGTTTTTTTTATTGTCGTATTTTATTTCAATTATGCAACTACCGGTTTTATATCAACAAGAGTTTTTTTTTTTTTTTTGGGTCTGATTTTTTTCTTGAAATTCATTTTTTGCAGCACTTCCAATTGGAGGAGCAAGGATGCTCTTGGTGATTACTTGGCAAAACGGAACATCATGGGCATATGTAAGTGATAAAGTAAATATTTTTTGTCTCTGTAATGTACCAACTTAATATAATATGGTTGTGTTTCTTCAATGGAGCAGATGATGTGGATACTAGGGCAATTACTCGAAGGCTTAGAGAAGATGGAAGCCTTATAGGTGTCTTAACTACAGAAGAATATAAAGCAGACAAAGAATTGATAGAGATGGCCCAAAAATGGAAAATTGTTGGTACGTTAAATATCCTTGTACCTGACAAGTTTTTCTACATGTATGTTTGGTAAACTCTTTTTTGTTTATTCTGCTTTTATCCTTATTTCTCGATTGGATTTCAGGAAATAAAACAAGTTTGGTAGATTTTTTATAACTATTATACGACATGAATGCTAAAACCTATTTATCTTTTAGGTGTTGATTTGATTAGTGGTATCTCATGTGAAGCTCCATATCAATGGTCTGAAAAAACCAATACAGAGTGGGAATTCAAAACAGGAAGTGATCGTGGTGAAGAATTTCATGTTAGTACTATAGCATTCAGGACTTGTTTACATATTGTTATTTAAAAATTGTCCTAATGCATTATATTTTGCTTTGGCAGGTTGTTGCATATGATTTCGGGATTAAACATAACATTCTAAGACGTTTGGGCTCATATGGATGTAAAATCACTGTTGTTCCATCAAAATGGCCTGCTTCAGAGACATTAAAGATGAAACCTGATGGAGTTCTTTTTAGCAATGGTCCAGGAGACCCAGCTGCAGTCCCTTATGCTGTTGAAACAGTTAAAGACATAATAGGTAAGGTTCCAGTGTTTGGAATTTGTATGGGTCACCAATTAGTTGGGCAAGCATTGGGGGGGAAGACATTTAAGATGAAATTTGGTCATCATGGCGGAAACCATCCTGTTTGCAACCTTCAGAGGGGATCCATTGAGATTAGTGCCCAGGTTTGATTTTATTATAGTTATCCATCCTTTACATATTTTGGCTTCTCTTTTTTTCTCCTCTTTTTAAGCATTGTGATATAATTTTTTGTGTTTGGCATCATTTAATAATATATTGTTTGTATTGTTGGTTCTCGCATGAATGCTTTTTCTAAATTATTTGGCGCATTGCAATTCTTCAATGAGTAGTTTTGCAGTATCATTTTTTTTTCCATAGATTGCATTGAGATTTGATTAGTTGCTAAGTTTTACTGTTTGTCAAATTAAAAGTCTTTCTTGTTAGAAATATATAAAACAATGGTTTCATCATCATTAAAAGGAGCATCAGCAAGTCACAGATCAGGCAATATTGCAGAGGTCTAGAAAGGAAAAGAGCAACTGCCAAAGAACAGCATGATTTAGATGTTTTTGGCAGACATAAGATAATCGTATTTTTTTAACCGTACATAGTTTAGATTTGATTAAATGATTTAGAATAAAAGATATTTAGTCAAAATGGATCTCAAAAGTATTAAATTTTTTTGTGCTGAATCTAATATATAAAGAATGCATCAAAATTTTTATATTACACTCATCTCATAGTTAATATAATTGTTTGTGAGACTATGACATTCATGTTTTAAAAACTATTAATATTCACGTAATTTGATGGCGCCAATTTTATAGGAAACTCTATATTCGTGGTCTTGGCTTGTTGCCTATCGAGGTAGTGGATTCATTACCTTAATATAATTTTATTTGACGTTCTAAATTGATTTTTTTATTATTTTTTATGGCAGAACCATAATTATGCAGTGGATCCTGCCTCACTCCCCCCGGGCGTTGAAATAACGCACATAAATTTAAATGATAATAGTTGTGCTGGCCTCCGTTGTCCTGAGCTAAAGCTCATGTCTCTACAGTACCATCCTGAGGCCTCTCCTGGTCCTCATGACTCTGATTTAGGTATGTTGGGTGAATATAGTTATGAAAATAATTTAATCATGTTATTCTTTAATCTAAATCTGAGTTGGAGATTACTGCTGCAATATAAATTTTGATTGATTAATCACATATTATCATTGCAAATATGATGATTGTAAATTGTAAAGTTCAATTTGACCTAAAATTTCTCACATAGTTGCAAAGCTTTTATTGAATTTAAAAGCTGCACTCCTTTCACCATGAGTTTCTAATTGTTGGCAATTCAATACAGCTTTTCAGGAGTTTATAGAGCTGATGAAGGGTAACCAATCCTGAAACATATCCAAGCAATCTCTCTTGAATGATTTGATTCATGGTGAAATAAAAGGAAGAGATGACATTTTGTTTCATGTATTATGTCAAGTTGCTTATGGAGATTATTAATTTAGGTTAATTGTTTGCAGATAATTTTATCCATTTGTGTGTTCGCCATGAGAAGATTGTTTTTTGAGAAGATTGTATTAAGTCAAGTTTAAACCGTTTTATCAAAAAACAAAGCACACTCCGATGCAGACATAATAAATCTGGTTGATTTACTGCTGTTCATGCTAATGTCAATTTGTAAAGCACTGCTTATGCCTTTCAAAAAAGTAATTTATTTCAAAGTTTATTTTTAGGTGAGTAGAAATTTTGGGTTATGATATATATATTGATAGATTTTTAAAATCATCTGTGCATAGTAGAGAAGTAATCAAAAGATTTGTTTAGTGGCTATGAAGAAAATGTTTATGAAGAGTAGAAGGATCTCTTTACAATCTTCTTTGCATAACTTACACTTGTCTTATTAAGGAAAATAATGCTTTGAAATAAATTTTAATGCATGCACTAATGTTGCCAACCTCTTTATTTAATGATGTTTAAAAATATTCTTTTAAGTGTTGTGATGTTCATTTAATAAAACGATGTTCAACTTGAATTAAAATTCAATTTTGTTTAAATTCTTCTCTTTAATGGCTTATGGTTAGATTTTAAGTCCCCACCAAATACCCTTCACTCGAATGGATGCAGTTACATAAATCCTTCAAATAGTTTATTACCCACCTCATCAACCACAGCATGCAAATTCGTATTGGCATTTTTTTTTGACGTTAAAATTTGCCAAAATTAGGGTAGTTACGTAAGCTTGCATTTCTTTAATCATCTCAATTGATTAGCAAAATTTTCATGATCACCTGATGTTTTTGGGAAGAAATGAGTTTGAATGCTATCGTCTTCCTCAATAAGAAGACGGAGGCTTTCATCCTCAAACTTTAACGGCTTAATTCAAGAAAGGTAAACTACTCAAAAATGGAGGCTCCAAATGAAGCTCATTATAATATATCATAGTCCAAGTCCAAATCAAAATATCACAACCACCGTAGAAAGAAATACGCCAATCATAGTCCAATGATATCAGTAATGTGAGATCCATGAAAACACTAACTAAGAACTGCCTATCCCTGTACGTTCTACATGGAACCATATCTTCTTTCACTGTTCCTTTGTGTTCTCTCCCATGAAGCTTGTCTCGCTGCAATGGAATTTCCGTAGGAGTCATCTCCCACACGTTCAGCTCCTGCTCCACTCACCTGATTTAAATACCAACAACAAATGGGTTAAATAATCGATACCATTTTTTTTTATATAGTTTTTTTGAGATTTACATGCAAACCTATTAATTCCTACCTATTATCTATGCATGAAAAAGGTATATCTCACTTTTTAAAACTTAAAATTTGGATGGTATAAATGTAAAAAGTAAATTTTTGGCGTTACACATGTAAATATATATGAATTAAGTGGTTTGTATCTAAATGGCCTCTTTCTTATTTACTTAAAAATATTGAATGCATTTTTTATCTGTTTCTAATTTTTAAAAACACTTGAAAATCTAAAAATTATTTTGAGGTTTTTAAAAATAAGTAAAGATGTTAAAACATGCAAAACATATTTTATTTCAAATAAAAAATAATAATAATAAGTGATCCCAGAGGGCCATTAAATCTATAAAATAAAGCAAACCGATGAGCAACTCACAGCTTCCAAGCAAGCTGATAGAAGAGTCATCCCAGGCAAGGCAAAAAGACCATGCTACATGGAAGACAGACAAAACGCTTGAATCAGCTGAATATAATGACACTGTCAAACTGCTTGATTAACAAAAGCTGTAATCAAAGTGAGTACAAACCTGATGTTCTATGCGACTCTTGTAGATGAATCCTCCACAACACGATACAACCGATAAGAAAATTAAGCTGAAAATATTATGATAATGCAGAGGTCAAATATATAACACATAAGCATTCATAGTTGCATGCATGCCACTCAAATATTTAACATGACCTCAAAAATAGCACCACCGCTCTTTTCTTAAAAGTGAAATACATCTTTTCATGCATAAATTTATGACACCAATGTGTTCCCCGTATATATTTAATAGAATCTGACAATAGTGTGATGAAATTAACATACACACAGGAAATAACTCCAAATGTGGCCCACCCTCTTAAAGAGCCACCATCTCTCTCTTGAGTATTGTCTGCAGCAAGATGAACAAGTGCAAGCTAAATAGTTATATAATAGAGACAACCTTTACGAGACTAAGGAACAGATCCCATAATGGAAGAAGGATAAAAACAAAGATTTAATATACATTTAACAAGAATATCACTGCCTCATAAACAAAGAAATAGAATCTAAAAACTCCTGATTCAACTTTTAACCCACGCCAACAATTGCTTTTCTCAACTGGTATGATATACCAAGCAATTGTTAATCACATAAAGATTAAGAATCGATAGGATTCATTGTTATAAGGTACCGACACTTTCTAATAATGAGGCATAAATATGCTCCAGCCATTGCACTTGTCAGACCCACGACCAACACACATAAGGCACATACTCTATATGTTCAATTAAAAATATAAAAAACTAGTGGCCATGTGTGCCCTGAATAATAAATTTTAATTTTAAATTATATTATATAAATGGCTTTAGTTAAAAGCTTTCTTTATTTTAAAATATATTACTTGAATAACTCAATGGCTACATCACATAAATTTTAATTTTAAATTATATTCAAAGGGGTGATCTTTTTAGATATCTCGGGTCTATTGTTCAAAGCGATGGTGACATAAATGAGGATGTTATTAGTAGAATTCAAGTTAGTTGGTTGAAGTGGAGAAATGCATCGTCCTATTGCGTGATAGGAAAGTACCACTTATACTGAAAGGAAGATTTTCTAAGATGGTGGTGACACCTGCAATGCTCTATGGCGCAGAATATTGAACCTTTAAAAAGAGAAGTATAAAACAAATGTAAGTGTTGTTGAGATGAGAATGCCTAGGTGGGTGAGTGGAATGCTTAGGTGGCTGAGTGGTTTGACACTTTAGAGACAAAATGCAAAATGAATATATCTGTAATAGGGTTGGTGTAGCTCCAGTGGCAAACAAGATTAGAGAGAGTCGTCTTAGAAGATTTGGTCACATTAAAAGTCGACCATGTGACAATCCTTTTAGGAGAGTAGACGTTTTAGATTTGAATTATATTAAAAAAAGCAGAGATTGACCTAAAAAAACTTGATCATATTGTATAAAACATGATCTAAATCTGCTAGAATTAAATAAAAAAATGACACTCAATAGGACGCAATGGAGAAAAAGAATTCATGTAGCCAAGCCCACTTAGTGGGATAAAAGTTTGTTGTTGTTGTTGTCATCATGAAGTCTTTATGATTTTTTTTTATAATATTTATTTTTTTTATTTCTTTCTAAGAAGAAGTAATTTCTTAAATTCAGGCAAAAAATCTATAATAGCATGTGCCTATTTTTTTAGTTGGATAAAGGCCTATTGTTGTTGTTGTTGTTGTAGTTGTTGCTGTTGTTGTTGTTGTTGTTGGTAAATTTAACTTCAGTTTTTATTTATGAACAATTAAAATAAACTTTCAATTATATAAATTCATTTAATATATATTTTATTTTATGTAACTATCATACAATGTTTTAATTTTTAAGATATAATATAATAATATTGTATTCAATGTGATATCGAAACCAGTTTGGTAATTAGCGGAAACAAAAAACAAACTTTTATTGACATTGGATTAGGATTACAACCCGAATCAAAAAGGAAAGGAAAATATAATGACAATGCTCTCTGGCTAGGACCGTAAGAGAAAATCCGGGGGAGGTGGTGGCGTCAGCGAATTGAGTTTGGAGCAGGTCAGAGCCCGAGGTTGTGGAGTAAGCTAGAGAGGGTGATTTGGAGATCGGTAGGTAGGCTAGAGTGTCGGTTGGAGAGTTAGACAGCAAGGATAGGTTGCAAAAAAGGGATGGCAGTGTGTTAGGGTGCAAGTCGGGTGGCTGGACAGCAAGGGTAGAGTGCAAGGAAGGGGCGGCAGGGGGTTAGAGTGCAGGTCGGGTGCTAGGCAATAAGGGTAGGCTATAGGGAAGAGTGGCTAGGTGTCGGGGCGCAGGTTGGAGAGGCCAGCGGCTAAAGGGAGTGGAGGAGAAGGGATAGGTAAGATGATAGAAGAAGATACACACCACATCGAAGCAAGATACAACCCAATCACCACCTGTCGTCGGATACAACCCCAACAGTGAGAGGAGAAGACTCCAAGGGAATTCTGAAATACAAACAAAAACTGAACCCTACAATGAGAAAACTGCAATTTATAGACTCTTACATGGAGAAGAAAATGAAAGGAATAGAAAAGGAATCTCCCACACAAAAAGGAAAGGAGTGGGCGGCAGTCCAAGTCCAGAAACAGCGATTAAAGACTTCCCATATGGAGGCGATCACGTAAGGAAGGGAATAGATGGAGGAATCAACAGCCCCACCCTCTAGGGAAGCTGCCCGGTCTAGCAGTGATCTGGATCGGTGCCCTATGCTAGCAGGTTCAACCAGCTGGCTATTCCCGCACCCGCATGGGAATACTTCCTCACCCACATCAGTCTCCTGGGATTGGGGGAGCTTCAACCTAATTCGCCGCAGCATCGAGATCACATTGACGACTGCATCGCCCTCCCAGGAGCCTAAGAGTCTTCCCCAACCTACGAGCAAGCGTCCACATCAGTCCAATCTTTTAGGTATCTTCTACTGAACTGAACTGAGACTACGTGTCTCTCCTCTGCTCTTGAATACTCCCAGAGTTATCCACAGTCGATTTAAATAGATCTCAGGTGCGGGTAACCAGAACCTACCCGTACGGTGCAAGCGTTGGTGGTACAGTGTTTACTGTAATATTCTGAAATACCCTTTATTATGTTTGTCCCATGTCTGGAACTAGTGTCTCAGTCTCATCATCCTCTATTGTTACCAAAACTGATCCCACTGGTGTTGCTTGTTGGTAAGGGCACCTATGCTCTCGGACTTTGTCGAAGGCACATTCTTAGTGTAGATACTTGTGTTCCTTAATCCGTCGTGCTGAGTCCTATCAAACTGTCATGATCTCCCCAACAAAATGTGTCAGGTATCCATACAAAGCATATTGCACCACACTCGGTCTTGCAGCTGACCCCCAATTAAGAACTCTACTAAGCATCTCCAGTCGATGTTGACCCTATTCTCCTTATTCAACTGCATTAGTAAATACGACTGAGAATGTTTCTAAATAGTGAGTCCTAATTTTTCTACCATCTGTGTCAATTTCATGTCCTTGTTGCTCTCGTCATCGATGATGAGACTGCATATCTTTCCGTTTATTGTGCAACAGCTGTAGAATATGTTATGGTGAAGCCACTGCAGATCCCCTGTGTCCTCTACATGTAGGATTTGTCGAATAAAAAATACCTCTCCTTCATCTGGTGGAAGCTGATACACCTCACCCTGGTTCTCAGTTGTCTCCTCATTGCTAACTTCCTCCACGGCGTCCTGATCCATGAGTGTGACTACCCTGCTTGTGGGATAGTTGGAGATTATGTGGTCATAACCATGGCATCTGAAACACTTCCTGTCCGATAGAGTGTTGAATGAGATACCTTTCTACTGTTTTTCTTGCTCTGATCCGAAGTATCATTCCCTTATATGGACTTGTTAGTATCACCCACAATACCCTTGTCGGTCGGGGTAGTTGTAGATGACTACTTGCCTGAAAGTTGCTACATGAAGAATGATTGTTGTTTGCTCTTTTTTGTTGTCTTACCACCTTCAAGGCTAGAATCTGAACATCTCCAAGTGACAAATAAGGTTGTAACTATACCACATGACTGATAGCTAGCTTAAGCCCTCCCAAATAACGGGCTATGGTATGCTCCTCTGGCTCGACCATATCAAACCCCATTTGCAATTGATCAAGTTGCTCTGTGAACTCCTCTACTGACAAATCCCTCTACCGCAAGTGGTAAAATCTCAGAAACATATCCCAACGATGATGGGGTGCGAGGTATTTTCTCTGCATTACCTTTTTCATCATCTCCCACCTAATAATATTATTGATGTCTTCCCTTTTCCTCTGTCGTTGTAAGTTCTCCCACCATAAAGAGACAGTTTTCTTCATTTTGATAGCAGCTAATTTGACCCTTATCCTATACACATGCTTATATTCGAAGATCCATTCAACATATTGTAGTCAATCAATAAATTCTTTTAGATCCATACCTCACACAATTTCTGGTATATCAATTTTGATGTCAAAGTGTTTGCGCCCTCTAAATGATATCTCACCTCTTTAATTCTTCCTACGGAAGGGATCCAGATACCCCTCTCTAGGCCGCCATTGGTACTGAATTCTGAAACTTCGTGGTCTATCTTCTTCATCGTTGAAATTCTTCTGCCTATGGAAGGGATTCATATCTTCTTCTCTTTCTCCCCTTTGACACTCCAAATCTCGATTGAGGTAATCTCCTCCTAAGTCATCTCATCAATCTCTGCAAGCCTCTGTTGAAAGCGACGAAGCTCTAGTTGTATCTCTTACCGGATGGACTCTTGTATATATCTTCTCGGTGATATGATTAGGGTTTGAGATTCTTAGAAGTGTAAAGAGTAATTAGTAGGAAAGAAAAGTTTTGGTTTATGGCGGATGCTAGGAAACTCTGGGATAAGACTAGAGTTAGGCTAGTTCTGATACCAAATGATATCGGAACCATTTCGGTAATTAGCAAAAATGAAAAACAAATTTTTATTTGGACTGAATTAGGATTACAACTCGACTCTGACTTGAATGGAAAATACAATGACAATGCTCTCCAATAGGACCATAAGAGAAGGTCCGGGGTCGGTGGTGGCATCGGTGAAGTGGGTCGGAAGCGGGTCGGAGCCCGAGGCTGTGGAGTAGGCTAGAAAGGGTGATTTGGAGTTCGGTAGGCATGCTGGAGTGCTGGTTGGAGGGTTCAACAGCAAGGATAGGCTGCAAAAAAGGGACAACGGGGTGTTAGGGTGCAGGTCGGGTGGTTGAACAGCAAGGGTAGGCTACAGGGAAGGGGCGACAGGGTGTTACGGTGCAGGTCGGGTGAATGGACAGCAAGGGTAGGCTGTAGGGAAGGCTGGCTGGGTGTCGGGAGGCCGGCGGCTAAGAGGGGTAGAGGAAAAGAAATATGTAAGATGATATGAGAAGATACAACACCACTTCGGAGCAGGATACAACCAAAGCACTATCCGTCGTCGAATACAACCCTAGCAGGGAGGAGAAGACTCCAAGGGAAATTCTAAAATAACAAGAAGCAAAAATTGAACCCTACAACCAGAAAATAACAATTTATAGACTCTTACATGCAGAAAAAAAGGAATCTCCTACACAAAAGGAAAGGAGTGAGCGACTGTCCAAATCCAGAAAGAGCGAATGAAGACTTCCCATATGGAGGCGATCACGTAAAAAAGTGAATAGTGGAAGGAATCGACGGTCCTGCCCTCTAGGGAAGTCGCCTGTCCCAGCAGTGACCTAAACCAGTGCCCTATGCCAGCCGGTTTAGTCGGCTGGCTATTCCCGCACCAATGTCACAATGTGTGTCATTCTATATTTTCAATAATAGATTTATCATGTTGATCATAATCCAATTCCTAGGTCCAAAGTATCATAGATTCATTGCCTTGCAAGGAACCTTTGTACCTCTTTCAGTCCATCTTATCTCAAGTTAGGGAAATGAATATACGAATTACTTGCCCACTGGAATAATCATATCTTCCTAAGTTTGCATTCTTCCGATGACAATTAAATGATTAAAAAATATCTCTATATATTGAAAACTATTCAATGTTAACAAGAAAATTGATTTAATGAAAAATAAGCACGTGATTAATCAATAATAAAAAACAAACCACAAAACTTTGTGAGAGTGAATTCAATTGGATCATAACCCTCAACAGGGATTAAGATGTAAACTTCATAAGGGCTATCACGAATTCTTTCGCCTACAGAGAAAAGAAAAAAAAAGAAACAATCAATCAAATCAATAAAAAACTGGAACGCATTGGAATGAAAATGACAGATCATACATCTCCAATTCACTAAAAGCAAAGTAGGGGATAAAGTTGTAGGGGCTACGCCACTTGCTGCTGAGCCTGATAATCTAATTTCTAACCCTTCCTTTGGGTAGACCTGTAGAAAGGGAGAAGGATTAAATAATCGTCAAATACATAGAAAAATGCAATAAATATAAATATTACCTTATAAGATGGTTTACGGACGAGACTGGCAAGAGAAGAAATTGCAGTCAAATAAAGAGGTACTTGTGGCTGGTCAGTTCCAAAGCTGAAAATATGATTTTCACGATAAAATGAAAACATAAACCAAAATTTAGGTGCCAAAATGTGCTCTTTAATGATACAAAATCTTTTCACGCAAAGTGACAGTGTCAACTCAACAATAAGAGTTTAATGTTCTGATTCAGTGACTCAAGCAAGCAAGGGGAAAAACTCATAAAAATTGCCAGTTTCAGGACCTCCGTATGCCATTTTTTTACCATGCATTTTGTAGGGTACTGGGAATGATCTAGTCACTTTTTTTGTGCATGAAAAGAGTTATTTTCCTACTCATAACTAAGAAAAAACTTAGATTGCCTGATACAATAGTTAACCCAAATCATAATAGAAAAACAACTATTATCAAGCAACTAAGCGGTTACAATCAACACACTGGAAAGAAAAATTATAACAACATAACACCCAGAAATCAGAAATCCTGCAAACACAACACAAATGATCCAAGTAGGGTAAAATCCCAGGGTGGTGGTGGTGATCAGCGGAGTTTGGCCCTCCGACGAGGTAGCAAGAAGTGGGTGAAAGCTGGAAGGTGCGGCGACAACAAAGGTTGCAGACGGTGGCAGCAGGCGGGGGGAGGAAGAGGGGGAGGCGGAGGGAGGGAGTTGCGGCAAGGGCAGCAAGCTGGATGGACAGGAATGGATGGTTGAGGGGCTGGAACAGCAGGAAAAGGATGTTTCCGTGCGGCCGCAACAAGGAGGAATGTCGACGGAAGCGACGGGGATGCGGGGAACTGCAGGACAGCAAGAGGACGGTTGTCCGGGCTGGCAGCAGTGAGGCCAAATGACTGGATTGGGAAAACTGCAGTGAAAACAGTAAGGTACAGTTGTTTGGAGGCGGCCACAGCAATGGAAGGTGGTCGGGAGTGACATGGAGAGGATGTGAAAAGAGATAGGGAAGATAAACACCATCTCGGAAGAGAAATACAGTCGGAGCACCACCCAAACCCTCAGATACAACTCTCGAAGGAAGAAACGGATGTCGGCGGCTATCCTAACAGAAATTTAAGCCCAAAACCGAATTTCAAACCCAAATACATCACATATATAGGAAAGTGCTAAAAAGAAATGAATTATAATAGGAAAGAATGCATAAGGAAAACGGAGTTGTAGAAGCTACAGGACCATGCCCGCAATAGACTCCCGCGTCAATCTCTCGGGGTTGGGGGGAGCTTCGACCTCATCTGTAGAAACGTCTATCTCATCATTTAGAGCCAAGTTGATAGTATTGAAGGTGGCGAAAACATTGTAATCTCCTGATAAATCAATCTTGTTGGCGTTGACATTCCAAAGCACATCTCAATAGAATATGTACCCTGGCACAATCATAATTGGAAGTGTACGTGGATGAGTATTCTCACAAACCAAGGCTCGAGTCATCAAAGCTATAATTAACTTTTTCCACTCTTCGCACTCGTCTGAGTGTATCTGATAAACAAATATGTGAGGAGGACTCAACTCTAGAATGAAATTTATGGCAGACTAGACTACATTGAAGTATAACCCAAACAGAAGACGTCTCTTCTTCTTCTTATTTGAAAGGACCTGGATCTCATTGTAGGATGTTCCTTCCTACAAAGCTCAAACAATTTCCAACACTGGTTCATCCATCATGTTTGATCAGCTGTCGATGAATATACTGTTGAGCTGAATTTAATACACCGATGACTCCTTATGGGCTTCCAAAAAAGACAGTCTCATCTCGAACATATTGAACCTCCCTCAGCATGGGCAACTCAGGAAGTAAGTTATATATCTAAAAAGTCTAAATTTTTCTTATCTCGGATTGCCCTGTGTCTGATATCGGCTCCTCAAACTCATGACCCTTTTGGATATCCAACACCAGTCCGGTTGATGCTCCTCTCATCGTCTGTAGAATGGTAGCTCGAGGCACCACGATTTAACTCAGACTCAATACCTTCTAGAACAGTTACTGTCAACTCAGTTGAAGTCTCTCTCTTGGGTTCAACTCAAATCGCTGGAGTCTCCTCCTCGTCGGTCAGAAGTTGAAATACATCTCTAAAATCTTCATCTTCTCCTAGATCACAATTTATTTCTTCAATTATTCTCTGATCAGTAAAAGTGATCACTCTCCTGGTTGTGCAATCCGATTCACTATGCCTAAATCTGTAGCGCATGAAGCATTTCTTAGTTGGGACAAAATTAGGAAAATGACTTGGTTCCACCTATTCGCCTCTTTAAATCAGTTTTTTTCTCTGACGGGGGTCAGCTTGGATATTCTTTTGGGTGTATTATGGTTGTAATATCCTAAGTTTGAACTCTGTCTGTAAGATGTGACTGTTGACCGGTGATGTGGACTCTCCACTTCTGAAGCTAGGGTCCAAACATTTTGTCTATAGTAAGCTGGTAGGAACTGGCGCTGCATCTCACGCTTCATCTTGGATCAGAGAGTAAACTTATCATTTCCCTCACGCCAGCGTAAGAACTTCATATTTTCCTTGTGGAAACATTGTCGCATGTCTTCTTCATCACTGAAATTCACCCGATGTAAAGGATTCATATCCTCATATTTTTTCTCCCCTTCAACTCTCCAGATCCCGATTGAGGGTAATCTCCCCATGGGTTATGCCATCAATTTCAGTAAGCTTCTACTAAAGGCAATCAATCTCCCACTATATCGTCGGGTAGGGTCCGACATGTATCTCATTGGTGGTATGGTTAGAGTTTGGGGTTTCTAAAAGTAGAAGGTTATTTGGTGGTAAGCAAGCAAATTTTTTGTTTACAGTGAATGCTCGGAAATCCTAAGATATGACTAGGGATGGACTAGCTCTGATACCAAAAGATACCGGATATAAACCCAAACTATAATAGAAAAGTAAACATTCCTACCTGACGCAACTAAGAGATTACAATCAACACACTTGAAAGAAAAATATAACAACAAGACACCCAGAAATCATAAATAAAAGCATACACGACACAAATAATCAAATTAGAGTAGAATCTCGGGCTTGTGGTGGTGTGATCGGGGAGTGTTTGGCTCTCCGACGAGGTGGCAAGGAGTGGGTGAAAATTAGAAGGCGCGGCGACATCAAAGGTTGCGGACGGCGACAACGAAAGGGAGGAGTTGCGGCAAGAGCAGCAAGCTGGAAGGAGAGGAATGGATAGTCGGGTGGCTGGAGCAACAGAAAACAACATGAAAAGGTTGTTTTCGAGCGGCTGTAGCTAGGGGGAATGTCGGCGGAAGCGACGAGAGTTGTGGGAAATTGCAAGACAGTGAGAGGACGGTTGCCTAGATGGAGGCATCGAAGACAGGTGGTTGGATTGGGGAAACTGCATGAAAAACAGTAAGGTACGACTGTTTGGGGGTGGCTGCAGCAATGTAGGGTGGTCGGGAGCGATATGAGGAGGATGTAGAAAGGGATAGGGAAGATAAACATCACCTCGGGAGAGAGATACAGCCGGAGCACCTCCCAAACCCTCGGATACAACTCTCAAAGAGACAAACGGACGTCAACGACTGTCCTGATAGAAATATGAGCCCAAAACTTAATTTCAAACCCTAATACAACGCATATATAAGAAAGGCCTAAAAAGGAATGAAGGATAATAATACTGGAACTAATAAAAAAAACTGTGGAAACACAAAAACAAACTTTTATTAATATTAAAATAAGTTTACAGCATGACATAAACTGGAAATAATAACAAAATATAAAATGACACAAGCAAACACCTCTCAAGTGTATTTCAACGGTGATAGAGGTCGGCAAGGTGGTTCGGGATGGCTAGTGGGGGTATTGGTTGTGAGGGGGAAAGAGCGGAATTGTAGGGACAACAAATATGGAGAGTCGTAGGTGACTGGCGGAAGGCGAAGGGGTGGCTAGAGGTGTTGGACAACAAGGGCAGCGGTAGCGGGGTGAGGAACGATCGGTTGGGAGTGCTGAGAAGAAGGGAGGATGGCTAGACAACAAGGTAAAGTTGTAGGTATGGGACGATTGAGTGCAGGAAATGAAGGAGGGGCGTGGTCGGCGGCTAAGGAGAGGATAGGAGACTAATTGGGGAAAAAAAAAGGAAAGGATACAACACCACCTCAGAGGAGGATACAGTCAAAGCATCACCACCTCCTCGGATACAGCCCTAGAACAGGGAAAAGGACTCCATAAAAAAGATTTGAAAACAAACATAGCAAGAACTATCTCCCACATACAGAGGATAGCAATTTATAGACTCTCATTGGACAAAGGAAACTTCTACACAAAAGGAAGGGATGGGGAGGCAAGAAGAATCCAGAAAAATAGCTACTACATCTTCCTATATGAAGAAGGTCACCAAAGGAAGGGCGGTAGTCAGCTCGATTGTGAATTCCCGTGATGTTTCCGCCTTAACGATCTCCTACTCGTCCTCGCGCCTGTTCGTGATGTTTCACGGCTCCCACTTCGTGAAGGTTCGCGGCTCCCACTTAGCGATGATTCGCGGTGGTTCTAGCCCCCGCGGGTTCAAAGCGCCTCGCTTCAAGGTTTTAGTGTTCGTGTCAGATAATAGGAAAGAAAGCAAAAGAAAAAAAAAACGGTGTTGTTTTAGCCCGTCTCCCGCAATTGTGAAACCTCGCGGTACTGTAGCAACTACAATATCATGTCCGCAGTAAGCTCTCGCAATATTGCCTTCCCCAAAACAAAAATTCCTACAACATACTAACAAATGAGATTTATGATCCTTCTTTTCTTTTCAAAATTGGGTGTTCTAATATTTCAAACATGCATTCTGCTGGTGATCAGCCAAATATGCATGGTTGCTTCCCTTTCGCACCTACATCGCATCAAAATATCCATGCTCACATGATACTGCATTCATATGCTCTTTCACCGTCCGCTTCAACATCATCTTTACCTGTAAACATCCCTCCTGCTTGCTTCACTCACAACAATGAGTGTTGGTCTCCTTTTCTGCTCACTTCCACAATTACCAACATTATCTCCCTTATGAGAGCCACAATCAATACCAAATCCAAGCACTCTCTACTGCAATCAAT